TCATTGTTTTACTGCTCTCTCCCGTCCCCCCGCCGTGGATAGTAGTCGCTTCACCGGTGCAGTCGTGCCCGCGAATTATTGCAACCCTCCAATGATCGAGTGGAGTCTTCCCGAGCTTTCTAGTTTAATAACATTTTTCAACACAAAAAAACTTGCGCGAGTGCAAACAATATGACGGGGATTTAACTCAATATTTGGAAATACTGTTCAGTATTAATTTATTTGCAATAATATGTTCATACTCCAGTGAGAAATGACAACGGAAATCGACGTCGGTTTAATAATTTTGACGTCGAATTAACATCAATTCGATATCATTTCTCACCGGGATAGATAAGAAATTTTAACGAGGAAAGATATAAATCGTTTTAGCGATTTAAAAACAAAACAGTGAAATTTTTAGTTACTGTATTGACATTACGTTAAAATTAATTTGAGTGATGAGTATTAAGTGTTATAAGTAGGTATTAAAAGTGTTAAAAGTATATCATATTGAAATTTAATATTTCTTTTATTTCAATTCTAAGTAAGTAAAATCTTGATGCACATTATTTTATTAAAGGCACATTAAGTTTTTTCTGCGACTAATTGATTTCATCGCTGACTCAACCCTCATTTTTACGTTGTAAGGATCGCCACTGTCTCCGTACTCGTGATTCGAACCCTTAGTAAAATGTAGCAGTTAACAGTTTATCGCTTATTGTTGCGGTACACAGAATTTTACTGCCACTAACTAGCGTTTCAAATTAACCAGGTGGCCAAACAAAGACCTTTCTCATTCTCTTGCTCTGTCTCTCTTCCTTTCTATTCGAAATGGTCGGCTGCTGTTTTGATCGTTTTTCATATTCTTTCAAAAATCTCAAAAGTACTTCCGAAATGGAAATGTGAAAATCCAACAATTAAATCCATGTTTATGATCAATAGAAAATCGCTGGAAGATCTTAATCGAGTTAAAGGGATAGTTTTTTTAAACAGTAGATTAATTCGGATTCTGTTAGACCATTCATTTTTTATACTTTTAAACACTATAATAATCAGTATTTTACTGTTTAACTTAGGCTACGATCCCGTTTGATGCTAAGAATGCTTTGAAGTATTTTTTAGTCAATCAGTAAAATTCTTTCTTCCGATTGATCAATCAAAAGCTTCGAAGCATTTATAGCGTCAAGTGAACCATATCCTTAATGTTTAAGTAATTAAGCAATAGATTTATTTAAATACATTTTGCAAATTTTTCTAAAGCAATAAATTTGTGCTCTCTCTATTGTATATGAAATTTATGGATAGTAACTCGGGGATACATATCAACAGAATCTTTGGAACAACAATTGGATTTACTAATATGAATTAATTAATAAGAAATTTTTTGTATTTCTAATAATGTTTAATAATTATTCAGTTAAAATTTAATAATTTTGATTGAATAATTTATAATTTTGTTTATATTTATATGTAAATATTTTTATATATTACAATGTTATATTAATATTTATATGTAATGCTAATTATTAGATAGTGAGTATATAATAAGAAATATAATATTGGAAAAAAAAAGAATATTATTTTTTTAATGTTAGCAGATATTCTTTTCATCTCAAATTGTTAGGATTGGAGGCAGACGTAGGATCAAAGCTTAGTTTCTTAAAAATACTTGTTGGCCGAGTGGCCACTTGACACTTCGGATCTTGTCACTTTTAGAATTCGGGTACCCCGGAAATCGGAAAACGTGCTTTATTGAATGACTATTCACCCACTTTGCTGGATATCTCACCATTAACATCACAATATACCTGCTCTGATGTAGCAGGCGGAAAGAAAAACACCTGAGATCGTGTCGATGATCCTCACATTTTATTGCTAGTACGTGAAGAGAAAAAATTTCCGTTAAGTTTTCAAGTAACCCTGACCACCTCCGGTCAGACCCGAACTTTTTTGTTCAAGGTATGGCATTGCATTTATAATGCAGATAATTTCTTACAAATATGGCGTGTGGTCATTCATACAGCAAAGATGTCCTATGGATCCAGAGAATAACTCCAATGAATGTCATAAGAATATTTCCGAGACATTTCTCAGATAAAGTGCTATGTTAGGTTTGAACAGCAGTCGAGTATTATTATTTAAGATTTCTAATAATGTTTAATAATTATTTAGTTAAAATTTAATAATTTTGATTGAATAATTTATAATTTTGTTTATATTTATATGTAAATATTTTTATATATTACAATGTTATATTAATATTTATATGTATTATTAGATTATCAACATGCTCTACCTTTCTGTCTTTCTCTCTCTCTTTCTCTTTCTCTCTCTTTGTCTCTCTAAGACTTTGAGTGGCTGTTAAAGAGCGCAGTAAATTGGATAAACTTGAACGGTTCTGAGGGAGACTGAAAAGGTTTTCTCAAATCTTTTTTCTCACATCACAGAAATAAAAGGATTATATATGGCTTATTGTAAAACTTAACAATAAATATCTGGCATTTCAAGAATGGATCTTAACATGGAAGAAACCCGCGAAATGCAAACTTTTAAATAAATATCATCGTGTATATTTTATCCTCAAAAACCTCTTTATGAGAAATGTTTCAAACAATTCTCTACTTTTTAAAATTTATTATTTTGTTGAATAACTTCTATACCTTCACGAAGTTTGACTACATAGTGTAATAAATAATTAATCAGGAATGGGGGGGGGGAGATACTTGTAACGCCGTTATTGTTACTACCTCTTTGTAATAATATGATAAAAACATTACGATTTTTTTATGACAGTAATAATAAAAATATTAAATAATATCAAACGAATTAATATGGTATATTATACAATATTAAAAAGTAATCAATTTTTTATGTCATTATTACATTTTTTGTAACACCATTATTTGCAAGGATGAGAAGTAACGTATTACTTGTAATACAGTTACTTTTTTGTAATAACAATTTGATGATATTGTAATTTTTTTTGTAATAACTTCAGAGTTGGAACAGTTTGACTTACTCTTATATTACTTTTCAAAAGTGACTGTTTCAATCCTGAAATTATTACTGTTAATTAAATGTAAATAAAAAATTGTAACGTAATGTTATTACCAAATCGTTATTATATAAAAAAAAAACGATAACATACAAATGATATAAAAAAATCAATTACTTTCTAATATTTATATTAACATGCATTTAATATTATTGAAATATTTTATGCTTTTTTAAATATTTTTAATAAGCAACTGATAAAAGAGTGGAATATATTCCGCTTTAATTACATATTAGATAACAATTTCTATTAAACTATGAAATTTTTCCTTCTCGAGTGACACGTCTTATGGTTATTAATAATGAAAAAAAAAGGTAATTTTAAGATATTTAATGTAGTTAATAAAAAAACTGTGCTCTTTATGCCGTCGCTTGAAATACTTCTCTCATTATGATGGACTGAAAGAAAAGCCGGCGGAATTTGGTGGAAACGGATCGAAGAATATGTTACGTTAATTCATAAAGTTGCTTCAAAGGGGGTGATAGGCCCTGCAGTTGCCTGAATGAACGTAATATTTAACTTAGCTTTGACCGGATGACGGGTAGGTCCCCAGGGTCACTTCTTTCTTATTCAAGAGGTTTGTTGAGAAGAAGATTTCGTTTCCACAAAATAAGATCCCTCGTTCGAGTCGCAGTGTGTTAGACACGATCTGGACTCGTTGAGCCACTAGCCACCGACGTCGTTTAAGAACCGCTTAAGATGTTATTGTAAGTATAGTGGAATGATGATTTTTCTTTTTTACAGTTTTCACAGGTAGTGAAAGTGTTCTTGTGTGTAATGTTAAACTCTGCACTCTCAAAAGTTCTGGTTTTCTTTCAAATGCATTTGTGAAGTACATAGAAATCTTTCACATTCCAATTAATCGAATAAGTTGAAGATATTGTTATGCTACATAACAAAAAAATTAAAGGGTAAAAACTAGGAAAAGTACAAAATGTTACAGATCAAGAATCTGAATTGACTTTAATTTTAATTAAAACTTTATTCACGTCAATTAATTTAAATTAATCTTATGAAACTCTTTGAAAAAAATGAGTAACTCATTACATACATTTTGGTTTCTATTATTTTTTTGATATAAGTATATATATATATATATATTACAATGAAAAACGTGTTCTCCTCCATTACTTATACGGTTTTTACCAATATATCCAGATGTATAAAAACAATTAGATAATCGTAGGAATAAAGCATGTATAAAAACAAGAATTAGATTAGAAGAATGGCGATATTAAATTAAATAATTGTCTATTCGGTGATGCTTTGATTCGACGATCTCGCGATCTCGCAGGTGCAACGAACGAACGGGGAAGTAGGAGAACCATACATCGTAGCTGAATACGATTAATCCGAAATTTATGATGGAAACCAACAGGTGTCGGCATACCACACGGCCCTTTCGCTCCTCGTGTGTGTCCCAGTGTGTAACAAGGCGTACCACTCTACGCCGAAGGATTCGCCTAACCGATATGCGTGACTGCTCTTAAACGTTCGCTTCCGGTTTCCGGTATTATCAGCTTAATCAGATATGTTAATTGCCCGCGAAAATAACGCGGAGATCGAGTAATCCTTTTAATATTTCGAGATCAACAGTGAAGACGTTTTCGTTTTCATAAAATAATATATTAAATGTGTGTTGAGACTTTACATGCTTCTTATCTCTCTACCTCGATAGATTAAATATTTGATAGATTCATATTAAGACATCTGATTTATTTGTAGATAACGTTAAATTTTATCATTGTAAAGTTTTAAAATTTTTAATTTAAAGTAACATGCGGTAACAATTTTAAAATTAATTTATCATGTATCTTATAGCTAGAAATTAAAGTTCGTCGTTTAAAATCTCGTTTTAGTAGCACTAACGCAAAAGTTAAAATTAGCTAAACGCTACTATTCTTAACTATTATTTTCCACACAGAATATTATATCTCTAAAACTTTTTTTTATTATTTTTTACCTGTAATCTTCCTCGTTGCTGACATAATCGGGTGGTATCAAATGCCAAGAAGCGTCGTAACAATCGTCATATCCGGCTGCCATTTTTCTTGCTTTTTTTTCCACTAAATCGATTAATGAACGTGCTCGTTTCTGTAGCCGACACAAAAAGTTGAAAAATATCCCGCAGCTTTTCCGGTCAAAAACGTACCTCCGCCGGCTGATTCATCGAAGGCAGCCGAAAGAATTCTTTGACGACTTCGAATATTGCTTCAACAAATAAAGCTTTTTTCTGACGCGATAGATCCGCATTTCATGCTCACGTTCTTCGAAAATCCGACAGGTATTTCGCATGAAGGGTCATTTCACATCGTGTCTGCGACACGAATTCTATTTAACTTAAACAAAGCGCAAGAAGGTGATATTGACATAGATTAACTTACACAACTTCAAGAATTTCTGAAAAAATTGATTTTACAAGCATTCATCGACGTTAAAATAGATAACGAACTAATAATAACGCGACCACCAATTGTCGGAATGTGAAAAAATTTTTCTCAATAGTGAGTTCACAGAAAATTTTCACTTTTTTTTTTAACGTCCTTATGCTTATCTATTAAATATTTGTGGAAGAACTGATTCGACACTCGAAAGAGGAATTTAATGGAAATTATCGTGGAAAATAACTGAGATTATAACTCTCGTCCAACTCGTGATAACTTTACTGAGAACTTGTGGCAATATATATCGATCACCTATATATTGTATCAAAAATATGGCTACCTGATAGGAGCTCTGGCAATCTTATCAGTGTGATAACACCCTACATAGATTAGTTTGACTACCGCAAATCCTAACGTTGAAAGGAGCCAAAATATTATCGAGTTTTCTCGATCTCTGATGACGTATTTGCATCATTATTTCCCCCTGCTTTATGTTTGAATACATTTCCAAAAAAAAAAAACAATTTTTTTTTTATATATAATTAATCCATTATTATCATGAATTCACAAATTGAAAAGCATAATTAAGCAAATTAGCTTTACGAATATATAATAATAATTTTAGTTTTGTTTATGCTATTAAGTAAAACACTATTCTCTCACGTATACATTTGTGTATATAAAAGAAGATATATTATAGATAAATATACTGTAGATATTGTATATATCCAAAATGCGTTGCATTATTGTGTACACCGAAAAAAAAATTGCTGTAGCAAATTAGATGGTAACTCTGGTGAAAATTTTTCTCAAAATTTTTCATATAATTTTTCAGAATTTCTATATAATTTTATAACTTTTTCACATTTTTTTTATATAAATTGGAACATTTTTCAGAAAATCTACATTTTTTCTCAGAATTTTTCGTATGTATTAATTATAAAATATCGTAAGATTTCTAAGATTTTTTGTAAATATAATTTCTGATAAAATGTTATAAAATCTAAAAAATTTCAAAATATTTTTTTTAATTATCGGATGAGAAATTTAGAATACTTCAGAATTCACTTGTATGAAAAATTCTGAAAAAAGATGTAAACTTT